TATCTGGAAAAAAATAAATTCATTGTAGTTCACAGAGTTCAGTTCTAGAACCTAGGAAGTAAAAAAAGTTCAGTGGCATGGCCGGGCATGGTAGCTTACACCTATAATCCCAGCACTCGGGATGCTGAGGCAGGAGGATCGTTAGGAGTTCAAGGCCAGCCTGGGCTACAAAGTGAGCTCAAGGCCAGCCTGAACTGCATAGCGGGACCCTGTCTCCAAAATAAATAAATAAATAAACAAACAAACATTAGAAACATAAAATTTGGGGCAAGACGTGAGACCCCACCTGCCCCAAAACAGCTCCGCAGCACATCTTCAGTGGAAGCACTTTCTCCTTCCAGCTCCGCGATGACAGATGGACTGCAGGGTACTTTCAGAATCATTAACACGCTTTTGGTCGGCTTTAATTTACAGAAAGAGCCAGGTTGGGTGGTACATGCCTATAGTCCCAGCAATTTGGGGGCTGCGGCAGAAGAGTCACAAGCTCAAGGACAGCCTGGGCAGCTTAGTGCCTTAGCACGACCTGTCTCCAAATTAAATAATAAAATTGAAAAAGGGCGAGAGGGCCGGGGATACAGCTCAGCGGCACAGCGGCGAGATGCTGAGTTCGATTCCTAGTGTCCCCCAAAAAGAAAAAAGGCTGGAGATTAGATCAGTGCAAAGATTCTGTGTTAAATCCCCAGGACAAAAAAAGAAAAGGAAAATGAGAGGAGCTATTTTCAGTAAGCTCTGAGAGACACCGCATTCTTAACACAGTGCCTTCTAAGATCACAGGCACATATCAGGCTGATACGTGGGCCTTCCAAGAGCAAAGTACAAAGGAAGAAGAGGACTTGGGCTGGCTGATTGAGGAACTTTCCACTTAAAAAATGTCAGTCAGGCAAGGCGTGGTGGCACATGCCTATAATCCCAGCACTCAGGAGGCTGAGGCAGGAAGATTGTTGTGAGTTCGAGAACAGCCTGGGCTACAAAGTGAGCTTAAAGCCACCCTGAACTGCATAGCGAGACCCTGTCTCAAAAACAGCAGCGACAACAAAAAGTCAGTTAATCTAGGCATGATGATACCCATTTGTAATCTCAGCATCCTGGCCACTCAGGGAGGCTGAGGCAGGACAGTTGTCAGTTCAAGGCTAACCTAAACTATATTGCAAGACTGTGCCTAAAAAAGAAAAATTTTTAAAAAATTAAGTATCACTTAAGCTAAGCCTTAAAGAGAAAAAATATTTTTTCTTGACGAGATCTCACTGAGTTACTAATTTCCCAGGCTGGGCTCAAACTTGCCGTCCTCCCGCCTCAGTGACTCAGAGTACTGGGGTCCAGGCACGCATCACTCTGCCTGGCTAAAAACAAGAATTTCAAGAGACAAAAGAGAGGACGGACTCTTTCCCGCTGTCGTGTGAGCATGGAGCTGTTGGAAGTTCTCCGCAGGTCCGAGGGCTGACGCATGTAGTAGGTGTGAGTCGAGTCCACAAACTTAGGGGTAAGAAATGCAATGTTGTT